ATTGGTTTGATAGTCTGGGTCTCTGGACTTGTTTTAAGAGTCCAAGTGCTATTCCTTCCTTTTCCATAGTATGAAATGTAAAAAGTTTGGAGAAGTCGGAAAGGAAAGAGCTGGGGCCTATATAAGGGCCTCCTGTAATTTCCTGAAGTAAGAGCTAATAATGGTGGGATCTAGTGGTTCGGTCAAAAGACCTTTAGAAGCTAGGCATAAAGGATGAGCTAGAATGCTGAAGTTAGGAACCCAAATACGGAGAAATCTTGCTAAACCAAGGTAAGATAGGAGCTTGTGTTTTGAGGTGGGAGGTAAGAGGGAGGCGATGAGGTCTTTTCTGTCTAAAGTAATGGCTCCAGGTTGTGGGATAATAGAGTGACTGAGATAAATGACTTGAGGGTAATAAAGTTAGGCCTTCTTTGGAGAGACTCAATATCTGTTTTTATCTAAATGATTTGAGAGGCTAGCTGCATGTTCATAAGAGAGAGAATAAACAGACTACAAAGGAGTAGATCATCTCCACCTTGGAGAATAATGCTGGGGTGGAGATCTAGTTTTGCTAGATTTGATGCTAAGGCTTGTCCAAAGAAATAGGGACTATCCTGGACACCTTGGGGAAGGACAGTGCAGGTAAGTTGGGGCTGATGGGTGACAGGATCTGTCCAGGTGAAAACAAAGGGATTTTGGGAGTCTGGGTGTAGAGGAATGGTGAAGAATGCATCTTTTAGGTTAGTTACAGTGAAATGGGAAGTGTCCGGGGGAATAAGGGATAGGAGGGTGTCAGGGTTGGGTACTACCAGATAAGTTGGGAGAACTACCTGGTTTATGATGCAGAGATTTTGAACTAAGCAATATGAGCCATCTGGCTTCTTGACAGGCAGGATTGGGGTGTTGAATGGAGAGTGAGTGGGTCTCAGGAGGTTTTGGGATAGAAGGTGTTATATAATGGATTGGAAGCCTTATCTGCTTTCTAAAGATATGGAGTGTTGGGGTTGACAGGGGTATGTTGAAGGGTCTTTTAGTTTTATGTGGATAGGAAAGTGGCATTGGGCTATGGAAAGGGTAGAGGTATCCCACACTTTGAGTGTGACTAGAGAAGTTGAGAGGGGGAATTTATCCGGTTCTGGTTTAGGGAGAGGGAGGAGGGGTGGGTCTGAATTAGAGGTGGGAGAGTGAAGCCTAAAGGAGGCTCTGAATTTTGATAAAATGTCTTTACCAAGGATTGAGATTGGGCATTTAGGAAGGACTAGAAACGAGTGACTGAAAGATATTCCCAGGAAGAGACATTGTAAGGAGGGTGTAGCTAAAGACTTGGAGATTAGACCATCAACCCCTGACAGTGTAGATTTGGGAGGGCCAGATAGGACCTGCAAATTCAGGTATGGCAGAGTAAGTGGCTCCTGTATCAATAAGAAAGGAGATTGGCTTACCTGCTACTAGTAGAGTTGCCCTGGGCTCCAAAGGAGTGATAGGAGTGGGGGCCGTGGGGCCCGGGCAACCTCAATCTTCAGTGGCGAACCCTAGAAGGCTGGGCAGGTTGAGGTCCAGTTGTTCTGACTTTGGAAGGAAGAAATGTGACCCTCCCTTGAGTTCCAGTTGATTTTCCAGTGAACTTTCTTGCCGAAACTTGGACAAGGGCCTGGAGGAGGGCGAGGATTAGGGCAACCTTTGGCCTAGTGTCCCTCCTTGCCACACTTAAGCAGGGTCCTGGAGGGGCTTCAAAGGTTTTGCCCTTAGGGCTTTGTATATTTCTGTGGGAGCTCTGAATAGCTGCTGCCAGCATCTGGCATTTAGCCTGATCCCTTTTAAGTTGTTCATTTTTTTTGTTTCCTCATCTCTATTATTGAAAACTTTAAAGGCAGCACTTAAGAGTTCCCTTTGTGGGATTTGAGGGCCATCTTCCAGCCTCTGTAATTTGCATCTGATTTCAGAAGCCGATTGAGAAATGAAATGAGTGTGTTGGAAGAGGAGGCCTTCCATTGAGGAAGGGTCTAGTTTAGTGTATTTTTGGAGAGCCTCTGTTAGAGGAGACAGAAAAAGGGCAGGATTTTCATCTGGACCTCGGCTGATTCCTTTGAGATTTTCATAGTTAATTGCCTTGTGTGCCGCTTTTTGAAGCCCTGCTATGAGTCAAGTACCATATGATTTCAGTGTCGGCCGCCTGGGGAGTCTGATAGTTCCAATTGGGATCCCGTTGGGACTGCTACTGCCCCCAACCAGCTGTTGATTATTTTGCCAGTGTAGGATATCAGCCTGACCATGAGTGGCTAGCCAGACTCTCTTTTTCTTCGGTGGAAAGAGAGGAGGAAATGATTATGTGGAGCTCATGCCAGGTAAGATCCTAGGATTGAGTTAGGTATTCAGATTCTTTGACTTAAGTGGTGGGGTCAGTGGAAAAGGACGCTAACTTTTTCTCAACTTGAGAGAGATCAGCCAGAGAGGAAGGGACATGAATGTGGACTATACTCTAGGCTCCTGCAACTTCCCTTAAAGGGAAAACAGTAGCAGCTTCCTGGGGGTGAGTCCAAGAACTTGTTTGAGCGGTAGAGAAGGAGGGTTCTGAGGGATCTAAGCTGGACTCATTGTGAGCGGGGGGAGGGGAGTTAAAGGAAGGGGTGAGGAAGTTGAGAGCCGAAGGGTTAAGGTAAGAGGGAGTGGGGGAGTCATCTGGGAGGTCTGCTGAAAGAGGAGCATATGGGGGTGGGGGATGAGGAGGGCCTAGAGGGTGATGGACCATGGTCAGTGGGATGGAAAGAAGTGTCAGTTTCAGAGTTAATAGAAGAGGATTGGGATGAAGAAGTAAAATCTTAAGTAGAGCAAGATTTACAGAGAGAGTCTGGAGTGGAGAGTAAAAACCTGGACATAGGGAACTTCAGACACTTTCCGTTGCAGTGACAAAAGTTGTCAAGGTCTTAATGTGTTAAAAATCAAAGGTGCCATTCTCAGGTCATTGAGATCCATAATCTAATTTGTATCGTGGTCAAGCAGTGTTATAATAGAAAATGAGACACTTATGAGGTTTCTAGGTTCCTTAAAAGGCAGCCAAAGGGGGTGATTTTGGAGGGTGTAGAGGGTGTATTCCCTATGATGAAGAGGATAAGAACGGCAGGGAAAGTGAGGAGGGCGAGTGGAAAACCTCTAGGGAGGGAACAGCTCCTTGTGGTCCCCACCGACAAGGAATCCATCTAATAGAGGAGAGGGGTCTTTTCAGAGCTGGGTGTCCCTAGTATAGAAATACCCGAGGCCCGGAGGTGGAGGAGTCTTCTGACCTAGTGCTAGGATTTGTTAGAGAACAAGAGAGATGAAGACCCGTGAAGAGGTAGATAACCACTCGCCTGAAAATTAAGTGACCAATGTGTACTGGCAGGTCACCAGTGAAAAGGTGAATCTCCCAGTTTGACCTCCTCCCTGGCTGGGTTCAGGGAGGTGACAGTTGAACCAGAAAAGTAGATGAAATATGTGAGGGACTCCACAATTCTTATGTTGTAGATCCACCAAGAATGAGTTAAAGGGCAGGATAATAGGGATTGGCAGTTGCCAATTTGCTTATTCTTAAATTGTGAGATAAAAATACACAATTGATTCTCTTGCTTACTTGTAATATGCCTTCCTATCCTTGTTTTCTTTGTAGTCTGTTCTATAGACCTATGCTGTCCACTATGGTAGCCCCTAGCCACATGTGACTAAATTTAAATTGAAGAAATAAAAGTAAAAAATCAGATCTTACACTAGCCACATTTTTCGGGTGCTCAGTGGTAACTTTTAGGTAATGACTGCCATATTGGATAGCACAGATGGAGAATATCTGTCTGCATGGTTGCAGAAAGTGCTGTTGGACAGCATGGGTCGAGACTTATCTTTTAATTCTATTTGTAGATGGCATGGTAAATTTGCATCTGCCTTTGGTTTAGAAGTTTAAAAAAATTAGACAGTTATTCAGGTAGTAAATGTCCCAGTCACTGATGTTCCCAATTTATTCCTAGTGTAGACTAGAACTTGTTACAAAGGCTAAGAATGTGTGTGTGTATGTGTGTGTGTGTGTGTGTGTGTGTGTGTGTGTGTATTTTTTTTGGTGAACTGAACTGCTTGGTTGTGAATATTCTAAATGAGTTAGGTGTGCTGAAAATTTGAAGGTTTTGTATTTTGTCTCTGATGGAATTTGATATCCAGAGTGTTTTGAGGTATGTGTGTTTTTTAGAAAGTCAGCAAGTAGTTATGTCTGTTTTATGCCAGACATGGCTTTTATATCCTTACCAGCAAATACAGATGCCGGTCTATAATTTTTAAAAAATTTTACTGGTGCTGGTGGTATACTACAGTGAATAAGACCAAGTCCTGTTCCGTGACTGCATGGGCCTACATTTCTAGTTGGGAATGTGGTAGGAGAGGCTGAACAAGTAAATATATGTTCCTTTTATGTGTTTCTATTTTTATTTTTTAGACCTTATTTTTTAGAGCAGTTTTAGGTTCACAGCAAACTTGAGCAGAAGATTTAGAGAGTTCTCATGTACTACCCATTGCTCCCACCCCCTTCGCTGTTTTTAGCATTATATTTAAGATTACTTTAATCTTTGCTACCACATAAATCAGTGAGTGACTTTACTAGATGAGGAATACTCAGTGGTCTTAATTAAGTTCACATTTTAAGAACACATTTGGTTATAAAATTCAGAGGAGCTTGCTGGAGACATTAAGGATAATCTTATTTCTATTGGGGAAGGGATAAAATGATTGTAGTTGTGCAAGTTCCTGAACTTTTCAGGAAAAAAAAAAGATTATGAATGATAGAACACTGAATGGGTATAAGAGTTGCTGGACATATCTATTATGGGTATAATAGAGTTGGTGAGTGCCTATTAGAACTTTACTTTTGTCTGTTGGTTGGCAGCATGAGATGCCTTGTTTATGTAAAGGAGAGGAAGGACTCTTGCTGCTTGCTCTTTGGAGACTGATGCTGGAGAAAACTCTGAGAACAAAAGTGACTAAATCACTTTTTTTCCTCTTTTTAGTTCTTGAAGCCATGAATCCTGTTTATAGCCCTGGTTCTTCTGGGGTTCCCTATGCAAATGCCAAAGGAATTGGTTATCCAGGTAAGCAAGTACAATTTTGTTTTCATTATTGAACTTTGAACACTTGGTAAATTTCTGTGTCACTAAGAATGCTTTCAGTTGACAAACCCAGCTCAAAGTGTTTTAAATGAAGAAGAAAATGTATTGGCTCATGGAACTGAAAAATCATGGTACTGAAAAATCAAGAGCTTTGTTGGCTCTAGTGGTTTGGGACTAGGATCTAATTCTCTACCTCCTGGGCTCAGCATTACTTTCTCAGTACTGGCTCAGTGTTGGTCATAGGTCACACTTCTCCCCGTCCTGGTTTCCCTATGTTCAGCCTCTCCCATCAGTCCCTTGGCTGCCAGCCTCTTTATCTCTTCTATAAGAAAGCCTGATGGGCCTTCTTGTTCTCTGTTCAAACCAGTCCTGTGCTTTTTTTCTGATTGGACTCAGCTTCTATCCTTGAGCCAGGGAGGGGAGTCTATTGATAAACTTAGGTCTGACTTGCATTCCCCACCCTTATTGGAGACAGTCACACATGGGCTGTGAGAGATGGAGTGAAGCAAAATGTGAGGGGATAGGAACTGGCTGATCAGAAATATCAAATGGTTGTCCTAATTGGTGACTTTGAATAAAGAGTGTTTATTTGTAATGTTATAGTTTCGTTTTCGGTTTTGATAATATGGTGGAACAGATAACCTCAAAACCCTGTTGATAAAAAACCCCTAGAAAATGGAATAAAACACACACACACACAAAATACTAAAAAATATATAATTGAACTTGGAAGAAAGAAATATCTGCAAGTAAAAACCAGCACATTTGGCCATCAGGCTGATTTACCTGTCCTGGGTCATTTGCTATTTGTGGGTTTAAACAACTCACACGGAGCAAAAAGTGAGGCCGTAGACCTTTGTGAGGCTGGGAGTTGGAGTGGGAGCTCTCATTAATCTGGTTCCTCCATGGGTCAGACTCAGTGAAGAGGTAGACTGAAACAATCCATTCACTGACCCAGAAGGAAATTGGTCTCTGCTTGGGCTCTGGGAAGGAAAAAAATCTTTCCTAAGAATAATAACCATGCAAGGATGTTTGAGATTCTACTTTATATTACTTGCATTTCCCAGGGGATCCATAATGAGAAACTAACATAAAAAATAGTCTTCAGCCTGCAATATTGCCTGTAGTACCTGACAGTAGCAAATGCAGAACTTCAGTGGAGGCATATGTTCTCAATCTAGGTTTCGAGAGTTTTCCAGAAACTTCTGTTAAAAGTGCAAAATTATTATAAAACGTATTGTCATTGTCAAGAGTCACCAGTCATGACAGACTACAGGAAAAGAATGAGAAACCATATCACACAAGCATGTTTAAAATAACCGAAGATGTAAAAGAAAACAGAGGGGAACGAGATACTGGGTGAATAAGACACTGGGTGAACAAAAAAGAACCAACTGGAACTTAAATGAAAAAAAAAAAAGGCATTTGAACAAAATTCAGGTTAAATTCCAGGTAAAACACTACTAAAGAGAGAACCAGAATCTAGTCTAAAGAAAGGGGAAAATAGACTGGTTAAGAAATAGAGATGTTAGAATGAGAAGTTTGAGGAGAATTAAGAGCACCAAAAGGGCTGAGTAGAGAGACTAGAAGAAAAGGAGTGGCAGAATTTCCTAGAACTGATAAAAAGTAATTTACTGATAAGACCTACTGTCTTCAAAATATTAACACTAGTTTAAGCAGAATGCTAAATTATTGAAGAGACTGGAGTGGATCCAGAGCCAGGGAAATAGGCATTACCTGATAGTCCATATAATAAAACATTAATTGCCTGTCATATACCAGTTCTGTGCAAAGCTGCGAAAATACTGAGATGTGTACATTGTACCTGCTCTTTAGTTGGTCAGAAGCAGGGATTGGCAAACTTTATGTAAAGGTCTAGTTAGTATATATTTGAGGCTCTGTGGGTCACACTGTCTCTGTTGTAACTACTAACCTGTCTTTCCAGCACAAAAGGAGACGTAGACAATACTGAGTGAAAGTGTTTGTTTCAGCGCTGATACACTCTGAAAGGAGACGGTTGCCTACATTTGTCCTGTAGCCTGTAGTTCTCTGACCTCTGGTCAAAAGTATTGGAGTAAAACATGTTTTTAAGGAATTTTTTGGTCATGAAATTACATTTAAAGGAAAATATTAAAGCAATTTAAAATCTTATATATAGTTTCTCCTTATTTACATCCATCTTGCGAATTTTTTTTTTATTTTGGGATTTTTAGTCTCCTTGACTTTCATAAAACTCTGTATCAGCAAGGGTTCAATGCAGGAACTAGTAACCATTCTGGGTATTTTAAACAGGAGTAGAGTAGGGAATGTCAATATAGGGAATTAATGTGCCTGCAGAATTTAGAGGCTTGCATTACTTGAATACCAAAAACTAACAAGACAGTATAGAAAAGGAAAGTACTTTTATATCCTTACCAGCAAATAGAGATGCTGGTCTATAATTTTTTAAAATTTATATTTAATGGAAAAGAAGGAACACTTCTCAACTTCTTTTGAGTATAGTAGTGTAATTATTGATATAATTAGGTTTACATATACTGTCTCATTATTTTCTAATTAATAGCCTTTTTTCACTTGTCTTTTCTTGGATTAATTAAATATTTTTTATACAATTTTTCTTCTGTTAACTTTTTAGAAATTCTTTTACTTTTCTAGTGGTGACTCTAGATTACATTTTGCCCCTTCTTTTGTTTATTGTTGCCACACCTTAAGATATTACTGTTTTTATTTGATGCAGTCAGTGAATAGTATTTATATTAACTCACACATTTATTATTTGTGGTGCTCTTCAGTACTTTCTATATTTATATGTTTCTGTCTGGATCATTTTCCTTTAACCTGGACAGCTCACTTTAGTTTTTTGTGTGTTTGTTCATTTTTTTGTTTGTTTGTTTTGTTTTTTTTCTGCAGGTCTGCTAGCAGTGAATTTTGTTTTTGTTTGTGAAAGTGTCTTTATTTTGCTTTCATTTTTGGAGCACATTTTTGCTGATTGTATTAGTTTCTTGTGGCTGCTATAACAAATTACCACAAAGTTGGTGGCTAGAAAACCATGAAAATTTGTTCTCTCACAGTTGTGGAAGTCAAAAGTCCAAATTCAAGGTGTCAAGTCAGCAGGGCCTCACTTGAGGGGAGAATTCTTTCTTACCTCTTGTAGTTTCTGGTGGCTTTCAGCATTCACTGACATGTGGCCTGTGACAGGCCACATCTGTCCAGTTTCTTCTGTGGTCACTTCATCTCCTTTTCTGTGTGTTTAGGGCCCACTTGCATAATCCATGATGATCTTATCTCAAAATCCTTAACATATATCCATGAAGGCCCTTTTTCCAAATAAGGTAATATTTACAGGTTCCAGGGATTTGATGTGTGGTATCTTTTGGTGGGTGGGGATGCTGGTTTTTGCCTACCACACTGAGTATACAATTTTAGATTGGCAATTACTTTCTCTCTGTACTTTAAAGGTATAATTGTACTGTCTTCTGGTTTCTGTCAGAATCAATATTGTTTCTTTGAAGTTAATTGTCCCTCCTCTACCTCCAAACCCCACTTCCCCACTGCTTTCAAAATATCTTTGTTTTTGCTATGATATGACTAGATGTGGTTTTTGTATTTCTTTTGCTTGATGCTCACAGAGCTTCTTGACTCTTGGGGATTGACTTCTAGCAGTAGCAGTAGCGCTTCAAATATTCTGCCCCTCTCTGTTTCCTGGAACTCCATTTATAAGTATGTTAGATCATTTCAGTCTCTCTCATGTCACTTGTATCCTTATTTATATTTCCATTTTTTTATTTATGAGCTTTACTATGAATACTTTGTACTGATCTGTTTCTATTTACTAATTCTGCTCTAATTTGCTATAAAACCCATGTATTGAATCGAGTCTTTTACTCTTCTCCGTCTTCTGCTTTCTCCAGCATACTACTAACAGTTAATTTGACTGATTGCAGTTATTTGATCACCTGTGGGTCTGTTTCTATTGTCAATTTGTCTTTTTCTTTTGTTTTTCAGCCATATGGTCCTGTCTCTTGGCATGCCTAGTGTTCCTATGTTGAGCATAATACACAGTGTATTAAAAATCATAGCTGGTCCATTTGATGTCTTCCTTTGCTAGGCACATCTTTTTTCCCCCCAGCTTTGTCAAGGAATGATTAACAAATATTGTATATATTTTAGGTTGTACAGCATGCTTTTTTAAAAAAGGTGTACGTCATGATTTAATTCATGTGTACATTGTGAAATGGTTATAATTGAGTATCTCCAAATATCATCACATTGGGGTTAGAGTTTTAACTAATAATTTTGGAGGGAACACAAACATTCAGTCCATAATCATGGCCCCAGGCCAACTGCATCCATACATTCTAATTTATTCTTTAACACAAAAGATAGTGGGCTCTGAGGTGGAATTAGGAATGCAGATATTTTGGAGGAATATAACACTTAAAGATCTAGTGGGGAAGTAGTAGAATTTGGTAGGGATAGCCTCAGGACTGTGATACATATTTGCTCAAGTTTCAGCTCAGCAGGGAGCTCTGGGGCAAAGGATTGGCAGTGAGAGGAGGCCCTCACTAGGCAGAATTGGCCCTGGAAAGTGCTGCTGCAGCTCACAACTAAACTGCAGGTTATTTTCTGGAATAAAAATGCAGGTGTTCACTTTGCTTTGTTAACTCCGTGATACTAGGAAACATTTCTTATCAGTCACAGAGGTTTGCCTTGTTTGTTTTTTTTTTTTATATTTTACATAATGTTGCTACATAACTCTCCTTTTATTGGCCAGGGTTTTGATGTTTATTGTCTTATTTGATGTTTTGTGTTCACATGAATTATTAGTGACTGTGGTTTAGTTTTATGAAGGATTCTTCATTTGTGTTAATAAAGATCAGGTCGCTTGTCAGTAGATTGTGAGATTGGCTTTTTCCTAGTTCCTGGTGTCTCTGGTCCCAGTTAGAGCCCCTTCAGCACATGATGCTCTTAGTACTCTTGTTATTCTTGCTAAATTATAAATTATGGGATTAGAATCTAGAATAAAACTGCCAGAAGTATAGAAGTATGAAGAGTTTTTGGACTTCAGCTTGGGGTTTTGTTTTGTTTTTTTTTTCATTCTAACTCAGTTTCTGCCGAAGTTTTTCAGTTGTGGAAAGTTGTAAGTGTTTACTAGTAGGTTTTAAAGACATGATTATGATTCTAAGGAAAAGAGACAACTAGCGACAAACTGCTCAGCCTACATAGTGCTGTTGGGCTCCTTAAGTCAGTCTGGAGTTCTGAGAAGAAAGTAAGAACAACGGGTCTATGGGAGCCCTGGTTGTAAAATCATGTTACTCCTTCAGGTAGTGACATCAGATTGTTCTGTGTTTTTCTCCAGCTGGTTTCCCGATGGGCTACGCAGCAGCAGCTCCTGCCTACTCTCCCAGCATGTACCCTGGAGCAAATCCTACCTTCCAAACAGGTATGCAGGCTGTGTGCGCTGGGTGGCTTTGTCTGTGCAGCTGGGGGAGAATGTAAGGTAGGTGGATTTTGAGAAGAGTGATTATAGAATTAGGATTTGGGGTTGAATTAATTTCTTGGTTCATAAGATTAGCCTTGTTAAAAAGGGCAACAAAAGCTTAATTCTTATTGTGTGTAAAGCTTTAGGTATTTTATTTATGATATCCTTCTATAACATATCTTTATTCTAATCATGGGTTGTTACAAGTAAATAGTTGTACCAGACATGCATTTATGATTACTAGAAAGTAAAGAACGTCTTGTCATGTTAATAGGTAGAATTTCCATGTTGCTAATAATTTTAGAGATGTTAATTTTAATTTTTCAATTAGAATTGACATTTTATATTTTATATTAGTTTCAGGTGTATAGCATAGTGGTTAGACATTTACATAATTTACACAGTGATCCCCTTGATTAGTCTAGTACCCGTTTGGCACTATCATAGTTATTACAATATCATTGACTACATTTCCTGTGCTGTACTTCACTTTCCTATGACCGTTTTATGATTGCCAATTTGTACTTCTTAATCCCTTCACCTTTTTCACCCAGGCCTCCAACCCCCACTCCCATCTGGCAGTCACCAGTTTGTTCTTGTATCTGAGTCTGTTTTTATTTTATTTGTTTATTTTGTTCTTCAAAAACCACATATAAATGAAATCATATGGTATTTGTCTTTCTCTTTCTCACTTTTTCACTTACCATGATACCCTTGAGGTCCTTCTATGTTGTTGTAAATGGTAAAGATTTCATTTTTTTTTCTTTTTATGGCTGACTAATATTTCATTGTGTGTATATACCATGATTTCCTTATCCAATTTTCTGTGATGAGCACTTAGGTTGCCTCCATATCTTGGCTTTTGTAAATAGTACTGTGGTGAACATAGGGTTGCATATATCTTTTCGAATTAGTGTTTTGGCTTTCTTTGGATAACTACCCAGAAGTGCAGTCATTGGGTCATAAGGTAGTTCTATTTTTAATTTTTCGAGGAATCTCCAAACTGTTTTCCATAGTGACCGTACCAATTTACAATCCTGCCAAAAGTACACAAGGGTTCTCTTTTCTCTACATCCTTGCCAACATTTGTCATTTTAGAGATTTCTTTGAAGATTACTATAGCACTTTGATTATAGTTTTAAAAGAAAGTTTTATTTTCTACATAAGGTACATGAGAATTTTTTTAGATTTTGGAAATCAGTGAAACAATTGAAAGTGGAATTGGTTTGGGTCCAAACTTTGTAAAGATAGATTATTTAGTGGGACTTTCCTCTATGAGCCTGCACTCTGGTGTTGGCTCATTCCAGGCTTTATTCACCCAGACTGGACTTTGTGAATCCACTGCAGCAGTGGTCTGTGTTCTGACCTGAAGGCTTGGCCTCACTGGTCTACTGGGGTGCTTCTTTGTCCTTCGGAACCCTTAGCCTCACAGAGTTAACTTCGACAGAATAGGAGACAGCAGTAGTGTCCTTTTCTTGAATTTTTCCTATTTTGTTGATCATGAACTTCTTCCTTCTATCCATCTCTCCCTTTCCATTCCCACTTTGATCATCTTTGTTCAGCTTACACCCAGGAATGGTCTCTTCTTTCCCAAATAATTTTTGTTTTTGCCTAGCTTTTATTTATACTCTTTCTTTCCAGTCTGGAGCTTCGCATCTGTCTTTCATGGTCTGTTATGGAATATCCTTCCATGGGGGTCAACAGTATTATGTTATTACCCATTGGATTTTTTCACAGCTAGATGGCACCACCCATCTCCTTTCGTAAACCATCTCACCTTAACTTTTTTTAAATAGCTCTCTTGAAGTATAAATGACATATAGTAAACAGCACTTATTTAAAGTGTACAGTTTAATAGCTTTTTATATAGTGTATACCACCCTCACAACTGGGAGTGAACGTACCCCTCACCCAACAAAAGTTTTCTGCTGCCCCTTTGTTATCACTCAGGCTCCAGGAAATCAGTGATCTGTTTTCTCTCTTTATAGGAGGGGCTAGCTCTTCAGCATAATTATTTTGACATCCACATTATACTGTGTATCAGTATATTATTCCTTTTAATTGTTGAGTGGTGTTCCATTGTACGTAAATACCACAGTTTTCTTATTCATTCACCAGTGATGAACCATGTGGATTGTTTGCAGCTTTTGGTTGTTACAAATGAAACTGCTGTGAATATTTATGTACAAGTTTTTGTGTGGACATATACTTTCATTTTCTTGAGTAAATACAAAGAAGTGGAGTTCCTGGTTCTTAAAGCAGGTGTATATTTAGGTCATAAGAAACTGCCAAACTGTGTACCACAGTGGTTGTACCATTTATGTTCCCATGAGCAGTGTGTGAGAGTCCAGTTTCTTTATATCCTTGTGAACACAATATAATCATTCTTAATTTGAGCCATCCTAGCGGGTATGTAGTGATATTTCATTATAGTTTTAATTTGAGCTTATCTCATGACTAGTGTTGAACATCTTTTCATGTACTTATTTTCCACTTATACATCTTTGGTTAAGTGTGTACATCTTTTACTGTATGTCAGTTTTTTAGTGTGTTTTCTTATTGTTGAGTTTTGAGAGTTCTTTAGCAGGTATAAGATTTGCAAATATATTCTCCCAGACTGTGGCTGTTTTCATTCTCTTAATAGTCTTTAAAAGAGAAAGTTTTAAAATGTTCTTTTATGGATCATGCTTTAGTATCACTTCTGAGAAATTTTTGCTTAACTCAACATCACAAAGATTTTCTCCTATTTACGTGTAGAGTTTTATAGTTTTAGGTTTAACATTTAGGTCTATGACTCATTTTGGGTTAACTTTTGTATATGGTGGTAGGAATGGATTGGGGTTCATTTTTTTGCATGAATAGTTTATTACTATATGTAATTATGTCATAGACCACCATACAGTGTCATTCTTCTAGAATTTTCCAGGGTAGCTCACTTGTATTCATTTTCTTCATGGAGTATAAGTTAATGTAAAGATATACTAAAAACTTCCAGCTCTTTTTGATTTTTCACAGAAAGAATATCAGGTTCATTTGAGGCCAGCAAAGCTATTTTCCTTGCCCAGAATGTGCCTTGCTCTTCTGGAGAGGAAGCTTGATGTTTAGAGTTCTGGTGCTGCTAACAGTTTCCTTTGGGGTGCCTCTGGGCCTACCTGTAGATCATGTGTCATCCATCTTCTCTCATGTGTTTCTTTTCTCTCAGGGAGATGGGCCATTTCTTGCCACTTTTCTAAGACTGCTCTCAAGCTATTCCTCCATCCCAGAAGCTGGGGCAAGCAGAAGGGAGTAATAGGATTGATGGGAATGGTGGCTGTGTAGAGTGCCTGCCTTGTTTAAAGGGGCATTCACTGATAGGTGCCAGATAGATAGTTGTCAGCCGCCGGAGCCTCTGATTTTTAGGTGAAGCTGGGAATAAAGCTGTATGTGAAATTTGTGAATGAAAAAATAAAAGGCACTTTGAAGGTCCTGCCAATGTCCTACAAGTGCTTTCAGCCACTTGACCTGAGTCTGGGCTACAGCTGTGCTCTCATCTTTTCCTAGGATCCTATCAGAGTTTTCATGTGTTAAATTTTTAAATTTCCTTTCTCAGTGTGCCTTTCTACTTACCTGATGAGCAAATCAGAGTTGTTAATATAAAAAATTAAAAAGTTTTTCATCATGTCTCCCGCTTTCTCAATTTGTCTCTGATTCTCATACCACCAGATTTGTAGGGTACGCTGATGTCTAGTGTAGGTGGTGTGTATGTGTAGTTTGACTTTTAAAATACTTTTGCCATTTTATTTCTTAGCTCTTCTAGGTATGGCATAGAAAGGGTTTAGAGAACCTTGTGATGAGATGTCATGTCTTTTGTTGAAAGATTCCTTTTCTTCTTTTTCAGTTTACTCTTTGGTTTTAGTGGAGGATCTCCTTCAGTAGTATCCCAAGAGAGTGTGAGAGAGTCACAATTTTGAGATTCTTTATGTCTGGAACATTTTATTTTGCATTCACGTCTCATCAACAGTTTGTGTGGACATAGAATTCTAGGCTAGCGTTATTTCCTCCCAGAATTTTGAGAACATTCCTTAATTGTTTTCCAGCTTCCATTCTTGCTGATACTTGATTGACTATAAACTGATTTTCTCTTTGGTACTCTATAATATTTTTGTCTCTAGTGTTGTGAAATTTCATGATGCTGTGTTTTGGTACAGCTCTTTCCTTCTCTCACACACTTTATATTTTTGAATTTTTCCAATTTTCAGAATAAATGTTTCATACTCAAAATTATATGAAATCTGTGTGGTATGCAGTACTTTTGGAAAAAATGATCCATTCAAATACAGAAAGCTCTAGCACCTCACAGTTAGCAATCTAAGAACATGAGTTATTCCCTAAGAGAAAGTAAGCCAGCAGTGACTTACATGATTGGTGAAAGTAAAAGGAGAAAGATCGTGATCATTTTGTTGTCAATGTTGCATTGGTATGGGTGGCCTTTTTAGGGAAGGAGAACCTGAAAGCTGTTACTGTTTTTGAAAAACCTAGCAATGAATATATTTGTTTTTTTTATTGTGAATTGTTGGTGAGTCTAAAAATTATTTCAGAGTGGCAGTGTCTGTTTTGGATACTATGAGTTGTATGTGCGTATGTTTGTATTTTAAGTTTGTAAAGTTCCTGTTGAGGCTTAGTTTTTAATTGCCTGGGAGATAGGTTTGCTTTCCTTGAATGTGGATAGAGAATGATAAAATATTTATGCCTATACAAAAAAATAAATAAATGAAATAAATTTCCTGGTGAATATTAGAAGATAGCTCAGTTAAAAGAATAAGCAGTAATGGGAGGGATATCTTGGTTATGGAGGCACCCCCCCCCCAGAGGAGAGAGGAATCCCATCCCTACACTGAGACCCCCAGCCCAGAGTACCAGTGCCAAGAAGAACACCTACATATCTGGCTCTGAAAAATCAATGAGGATTCCTTCAGTCAAGG